AACTTGATTTAACTTGAATAAATCTTGATTTAACTTGAATAAAACTTGATTTAACTTGAATAAAACTTGAATAAATCTTGATTTAACTTGAATAAAACTTGATTTAACTTGAATAAATCTTGATTTAACTTGAATAAAACTTGAATAAATCTTGATTTAACTTGAATAAAACTTGATTTAACTTGAATAAATCTTGATTTAACTTGAATGAAACTTGAATAAATCTTGATTTAACTTGAATAAAACTTGATTTAACTTGAATAAATCTTGATTTAACTTGAATAAAACTTGATTTAACTTGAATAAATCTTGATTTAACTTGATTTAACTTGAATAAAACTTGATTTAACTTGAATAAAACTTGATTTAACTTGAATAAATCTTGATTTAACTTGAATAAAACTTGATTTAACTTGAATAAATCTTGATTTAACTCGAATAAATCTTGATTTAACTTGAATAAATCTTGATTTAACTTGAATAAAACTTGAGACACTGGTGAACAAACTTTCGGAACCTTTGATTCGTTTCAGTCTAAACGTTTTTTGTAGATTTTCTTTCACTCACCGAAAAGGACCGAGACCTGGAGCTGCAACATGATCCGGATCAGAACCTCCTCCAAAAAAACACAAAAACTAGTCCGAGTCCTCGGAGACCTGAAAAGACCCACAAAAACCAGAAAAGAGCTGAAGAGACCCCACAGTCCTCTCACAGTCTAATCCTCCCTAAACCTGCAGATTCTTTCAGACCCTCTGATCCTGCAGACCTCCACAGAATGCCTCTGACTCCGCCCCCTTTCACCACCGGCACTACACCTCAGAACGACACATCCGTGAGACCTTTCAAAACAAAACCTGTTTATTTTTACATCATAATTATTATAATTTTGAATGTATTGACTATTAATTAAGAATGAATAAGAGGTCAATAAAAAAACTCAGAAGGTATAAAAAATATTTTTCATAAAATTCATTTTAATATGTTTCAGGAACTCCACTCTTATTATGAAAGAAATGTATCTGACTTCCTGTCTGAATGACGTCCTGCACCACGTGACTGCCTTTGGTTTCTGGTTTAATGTTAAAATTACTAATTACTAAATTACTCTGACCAATGAATAACAGAGTGTCTAATGAATTAACCCTCACCTGTCCTGATTAAAAAACGTTATTAACAGAAACGTTAAATTTCAATTATAAAAAGAGAAAAACATATCAGGTAATCATCAACAGAACATAACAGCATAACAGAACTCTCTCTCCTCCTCTCCTCCTCCACCTCCTCTTCCTCCTCCTCTCTCTCCTCCTCCTCTTCATCCTCCTCCTCCTCTTCCTCCTCTCTCCTCCTCTTCCTCCTCTCTCTTCCTCCTCTTCCTCCTCCTCTTCTTCCTCCTCCTCCTCTTCCTCCTCCTCTCTCCTCCTCCTCTTCCTCCTCCTCCTCCTAAAACTTGATTTAACTTAAATAAAACTTGATTTAACTTGAATAAAACTTAAATAAAACTTGATTTAACTTGAATAAAACTTGATTTAACTTGAATAAAACTTAAATAAAACTTGATTTAACTTGAATAAAACTTGATTCAACTTGAATAAATCTTGATTTAACTTGAATAAAACTTGATTCAACTTGATTTAACTTGAATAAAACTTGAATAAAACTTGATTCAACTTGAATAAATCTTGATTTAACTTGAATAAAACTTGATTTAACTTGAATAAAACTTAAATAAAACTTGCTTTAACTTGAATAAAACTTGATTTAACTTGAATAAAACTTAAATAAAACTTGATTTAACTTGAATAAAACTTGATTCAACTTGAATAAAACTTGATTTAACTTGATTCAACTTGATTTAACTTGAATAAAACTTGAATAAAACTTGATTCAACTTGAATAAATCTTGATTTAACTTGAATAAAACTTGATTCAACTTGAATAAAACTTGATTTAACTTGAATAAAACTTAAATAAAACTTGATTTAACTTGAATAAAACTTGAATAAAACTTGATTCAACTTGAATAAATCTTGATTTAACTTGAATAAAACTTGATTCAACTTGAATAAATCTTGATTTAACTTGACTAAAACTTGAATAAAACCTGATCTAACTTGAATAAAGTTTCTCCTCCTCTCTCTCCTCCTCCTCCTCCTCCTCCCCCATGTTGCTTCAGGGCTCCACAGACAAAGACATTCCAGAACACACACACCTCCCCCACAGATAACCTCACCTGCAACAACAAAGGAGGTGTGTGTGTGTGTGTGTGAATCAACCCCCCACCTGGACATCTGAGGACTCTTTCAGGGGTGAGTACCCTTGGTGCATTGTGGGTAATGACTGTGAACATATGGGGGCCTGCAAAGAGCTCTCAATTAGAGAGAAAGTAGCCTGGCTGCACTCAAACATTAACATTAAGTGAATGAAAACACACACACACACACACACACACACACACACACACACACACACACACACACACACACACACACACACACACACACACACACACAGCTGTGAGGAGCCCCCTGTAGATTGACCAGTACATCCTGGCCTTCAATCTTTGTTTGTACAAAACCAATAACGAATGTTATCTGAGGGCGCGGTCTCATTGGCCATCCGTACTGTGCCCAAGCACGCTTCAACACTAAAGTCCAGTTCGTTTGACCAGTGTGACCACTCCGTATCGTGCTCAGGTACACTTCCTTGGCTTTGGCACACTTCGGAAAGGTGTGCTTCGGCACGGTACACTTCATGCACGAGCACAAGCACGCAGGTACACAACGCTGACCTTCATTATGGAGAAATCCAGAGTTTCATCTCAGTATCTGACTAACATGACACAATATAAGACACAAAGTAGCTGTCATGTTCTCTGTGTTATTCTCTGATACGCGTCTATTTTATTTTTTAATTTATTTATGGCTGTGTCTGATTAAAATGGCTTAAAATAAGTTGCAAAGTCAGTAAAGTAGCTGTCATGCTCTCTGTGTTTTTCTCTGATGTGCAGACGCGGACTCGACTGCGCGTCTCTTTTTCTCTCTCTCTCTCTCTCGTCCGCCTGTTTGTAAACTGAGCACGCTTCATAATAACATAAAGCGTGCATGTGTTGTATTACGACGTTATGTACAAGAGGTAATCCTGCTTTTAGGCACGGTTAGTCCTGGCCAGTGTGACCGCGGGCCGTGCCAGCCAGCGTGGGAATGGCGCAGCGGGGGGGGGCAATCGTGCTTGAGTACAGCAAGGTACAGATGGCCAGTGTGACCGCGCCCTGAAGAAACTTTACAACCAGAGCAGGTCTACACCGACTCTTAGTCATGTTGAACAGACAGAAACCTGGAGCAGAATCAGACTCATGTTGAACAGACATAGACCTGGATCAGAACCAGACTAATGATGAACAGACAGAAACCTGGAGCAGAACCAGACTCATGATGAACAAACAGAAACCTAACCTGGATTGGAACCAGACTCATGTTGAACAGACAGAAACCTGGAGCAGAACCAGACTCATGTTGAACAGACATAGACCTGGATCAGAACCAGACTAATGATGAACAGACAGAAACCTGGAGCAGAACCAGACTCATGATGAACAAACAGAAACCTAACCTGGATTGGAACCAGACTCATGTTGAACAGACAGAAACCTGGAGCAGAACCAGACTCATGTAGAACAGACAGAAATCTAACCTGGATCAGAACCAGACTTATGTTGAACAGACAGAAACCTGGAGCAGAACCAGACTCATGATGAACAAACAGAAACCTAACCTGGATTGGAACCAGACTCATGTTGAACAGACAGAAACCTGGAGCAGAACCAGACTCGTGTTGAATAGACAGAAACCTGGATCATAACCAGACTAATGATGAACAGACAGAAACCTGGAGCAGAACCAGACTCATGTTGAACAGGCAGAAACCTGGATCAGACCTGGAACTCCTTGAAGCAGCTCGCAGACGTCAATTTTGTTTTTATGATCACTTACATTTTACCCAAACGATTCGTTTTAAAGGTGAAGAGAATCAAACAACTCTTCCTGGTTACATGTGAACATAATGTTTATTGTATAAAAACACAAAGATTTTTCCAGAGGGGAGCAACTCAGGACCCCCAAACAGGTCACAACATGAATCTCAGAGGCTCTCAAGATTTAAAAACACAATGAAGAGTTTTACTATTCTACGATTTTAGAAGAAATAAAAAGATTACAAGATCTTTATTATAAAAGGAAAACATGATCAGAAAGATTTTTATAAAACCATTTAACAAACGTATGTGAGAGTGTGTGTATTTAAGTGTACTTATAGCTGATGTAGTATTCCAAAGTACAGATGTTGAAGTATAGTGTAGTAATTTAAAATCAGGCATATCCTGTTGCAAAACGATGCAGAAAAACTAGTTCATGCATGTGTTACCTCCAGGTTGGATTATTTTAATTCTCCATTATCAGGGTGCTCTGGTAAGACTCTTCAACTATACCAAAACGCTGCAGCTCATGTACTGACTAGAAGTAGGAAAGCATTTCACTCAAAGAATGAAGCCTTCTCGTGGTACTTACAGTCTCTAAATGTATTATGGGAGGTAGAGCCTTCAGTTATCAGGCCTGCTCGTGGTACCTAGTCTTTAAATGTACTATGGGAGGTAGATCCTTCAGTTATCAGGCCTGCTCGTGGTACCTAGTCTTTAAATGTACTATGGGAGGTAGAGCCTTCAGTTATCAGGCCTTCTCGTGGTACCTACGGTCTCTAAATGTATTATGGGAGGTAGAGCCTTCAGTTATCAGGCCTGCCCGTTGTACCTCCAGTCTCTAAATGTACTATGGGAGGTAGAGTCTTCAGTTATCAGACATGCTCGTGGTACCTACGGTCTCTAAATGTACTACGGGAGGTAGAGCCGATACTTTTATGTAGTGTAATCTAGTATTATTTTGCATTTAAAAGTATTATGAAGTACAGATGGTATTTTATTGTGTAGTATAAAGAAGTACTTTGAATTATTATGGAGTACAGATGGTGTACTCCTCTGAGCGTTTTGAGATGACTTGGCGCAGACGGTTGGCCACGTCGTAGAGCTTCAACACTTCGGCTTCTTTATCTTCTTTACTTTTGATCAGGTACTCGATCTTCTTCTCCACCTCTGAGTATACACAGTACACACAGTACACAAAGTTAGTACACGTCTTAGTACACACAGTACACAATGCTTAATATCTGAGTGAAAGTCTTCTCATACCTGATATCTGAGTGAGTTTGTCCTCAGTCTCCCTCTTCATCATCTCTGCCTCCTCCAGGAGCTTCCTCAGTCGTTCTTCAGCATCACTCTGACCTTTGACCTTTGACTTTTTCTCCTCTAAAAGCTCAAACAGCTTCAGCACATTATCAATTTCCTGTCAGAGACACAAACCACATATTTTAACTGGTTGAAAGGTGTCTGTGGGTACTGTTAGTAGTTCAGTTCCCACATAAAACACATTTCAAGGACAGCCTATTTTCACCTTTGTAATATATCTAAGATCAGGCATATCCTGGTTGCAAAATGATGCAGAAAAACTAGTTCACGCATTTGTTACCTCCAGGTTGGATTATTGTAATTCTCTTTTGTCAGGGTGCTGTGGTAAGTTGCTAAAGACTCTTCAACTAGTCCAAAACGCTGGAGCTCATTTACTGACTAGAACTAGGAAAAAAGACCACATTACTCGTGTACTGGCTTCTCTGCACTGGCTCCCTATAAAATCTAGAATAGAATTTAAAATACTTCTTCTCACTTGCAAAGCTCTAAATGGTCAGGCACCATCTTATCTTAAAGAGCTTATAGTGCCGTACTACCCTTCGAGAACATTACGCTCCCAAAATGCAGGCCTGCTTGTGGTACTTACGGTCTCTAAATGTATTATGGGAGGTAGAGCCTTCAGTTATCAGGCCTGTTCGTGGTACCTACTGTCTCTAAATGTACTATGGGAGGTAGAGCCTTCAGTTATCAGACCTGCTCGTGGTACCTACGGTCTCTAAATGTACTATGGGAGGTAGAGCCTTCAGTTATCAGGCCTGCTCCTGGTACCTACAGTCTCTAAATATACTATGGGAGGTTGAGCCTTCAGTTATCAGGCCTGCTCGTGGTACCTACAGTCTCTAAATGTCCTATGGGAGGTAGAGCCTTCAGTTATCAGGCCTGCGCGTGGTACCTACAGTCTCTAAGGGCGCACTCACACAAGGAAAAGTAGCCCTGTTTTGGCTGAAGCATGATTGCCTGCCTCTCCCCATTCCCCCACTGACCTTCACTCACATTGCTCCAGGATTAACCGGGCCCTACCTCTTATTTAAAATGTCGTAATACCACACATGTATGCGTTCACGAAGCGTGCTTAGTTTACAAGACAGACTGATTCAAAAAAAAGGGAAGAGTGGCATCCACAGAACAGAGAACAACACATCGAATTTGACTGCATCTATTAACTTTCTGGCTTTTTGTCAGATACAGCCATAACACAGATGGGTAAAAAATGGAGGTGGGGATCGATTATATTCAATGTCCATTCTGTGTACCTGAGCTGTGTGTCTGTCTGTATGTTAGTGGTCTGATTGTTGTGTGTGTGCTTGTGACTATATTCAAGATTTATCCAGAATATGTAGTCTAAATGTGTGTGTGTGTGTGTGTGTGTGTGTGTGTGTGTGTGTGTGTGTGTGTGTGTGTACGTGTGTGTGTGTCAGGAGCCTCACCATCTGTATGTCAGTAGTTTTATTTAAAGCATTGTATGCAGAGTCTCTTGCATTTCTAGCCATTTTTCGGTTCTGATCAGTTTTCTTCTTCAGCTTTTCGATCTCGTCCTGCACATCTACAGGTCGACGAATCATCAGCTTCTGCTCAACGTCGTCCAGTTTGTCAGTAAGCTTCATTTTGGAAAAGAAACACGGAAGAGCCCATTCACAACACATTAAACTAAAGCAACAGATATTTTATATTTTATGAATATTTGGGATATTGGAGATATTTAGATTTCTTTAGATGTTTAATATATTCTGCATCATTCTGGATATCTTTGATTGTACATTTTGGAAGAGGTCTCTGGTCATGTCAGTGTCTTTAGTAGCTCTTTCGAGGTCATCGTTGGCTTTGTTTTGAGCATTCGCTGCTTCATAAATGTCTCTGCTGATCTCTGTCACATCAATGTTTCTGGTCCGCTCCCTAGAAGATGAAAAGCAGTTTTAGTTGATTTTCTGTTGAAGTGAGGTCTTTAAATGTGTGCGAAATAAATCTGAATAACAAGCTCTTATCAGAATAATCCACTTTCTTTTCCTTCCCATGATTTTATTCTCGAAGTGTCGTCATTTTTCGTCCTGCTCCTCCATACAAATTTCCCATTTCCATTGCCTCTTTGTTTTATATACATATTCATCAACTAGAGTTCCCTTGTTTCTCCACCCTGCATGAGTCCACCTCTAGCATCACTCCATATGCACCAAATCTGTTTTTCTTCCTGTTTTCTTTGTCTCTGGTTGACTTTGATTTCTTTTTGTCTCAGACTCTGAACACAGTAAGGATTTAAGTGGTCTCTCTTCACTAACTGAACTGTTAAATTAAGATCGGGGCAGCAGACTGAGCAGCAAAATACAATGTAAGTATTAATCTTGTAAGGATTAATTGGTGTGCAACAGAAAGAGATACCCTAGAAACCCCCGACAGTGACCAGGCCCTAGTCAAGTTAACACCTGCTCTTGATTCCTTGTTGGCCACCCTTATCAAGACATTCAACAAAGCCACTGCCCATCACCTCCAAAGCAGTGTCCAAAAAAACATCGTTAATGAGGGAAACCTCTGTGGCTGAATGGTTTGGGAACCATTAGGAAAAAATCAGTTATGTTTGAAAAAGTTCTCCATTAATGTGCTTAGTTTCACAGGGGACATGAACGTGACCCTTCTTGGGACAGAAAGTCGAGTAAGGTTGTGGGTATTGTAAACTATTAGGTGGGCATAGTTACTTAGCCTATCATAGATCAATAAGTCAGGAGGTTAGAATAAACCGTCAAATTCATCCTGCAATGAACCCATTAATTATAAAAGTTTGTTTTATAGGTGAGTTGTGACACTGACTTAAGATCTTTAGCTTTCTGCAGCAGGTCATTGGCAGTCTTGGTGTGCTCCTCAAAGTTCTTCAGGTCATCCTGGAAGTTGGGGGCATTGTTCAGCAGTTTATTGATGTCATTGATCATTGAGCGCATCTGATCAGGAGATCGTGGCAGTTGGATGTCCAGGACAGCTCGGGCTATTTTCTCAATGTCCTCTGGAGGAATCATCTCATCTGTAGAGAAGTGACAACAACAAACAGCTTTTTTCAGTTGTGTTAAATACATTTTTCAAGTATATTACAAGTCTTGAACTGTGCTGAGCTGTTGTCCAAAACTCAAACATTGAGGACATTCTGAGTTCATATTTACGAATGAGCATATTTATATCATATATACGTATTGAGAAGCATACAGTAATGTACTGGCAGACAGACCATGAATAATTGGGGTGTAAGGGAAAGTAGGATACCTACCAGCAGGTAATGGATAGGCAGGCAAGTCACTAACAGGTACCAGCCCATTAGGCACAAATATATCAGGCAGGTAGCCAAACTACTAACAGGTAACTGGTGGGTAGGAAGGCACACCACTAACAGGAAACAGGTATGACAATATGCATACTGTTGAAAGGCATTGGGCAGGCAGGTAGGTCAACCACAAACAGGTAACAGGCAGGTATGACAACCTATCACAATAACCAACAGCTAACAGATCACCCACACACTGACCCATCAGGTAGTCTTTGACTCTTTGAATCAGGTCCTTGGTTTTCTGTTTTTCTCTCTCAAAGGAGTCCATGTTGTCATTGATCCGGTCCTGCAGGTCTATGGCCTGGTCTTTGGTGTCTTGAGCTGCCTGTTTGGCATTATTCACCTGAAGAAGAATAAACAGACACATATTAAGTGAGGTTTGTGTTGGTTTGTAAAACATTGGTTAAAAAAACCAACAATCTGGATTTTCTAAGTAAACATTGTGTGACGTTGTTATCATAAAAGAGCTGAATATGAAATCTAAGTGTTCCCAATGTTCCCAGTGCTCCCGGTGTTTAAAGTGTTCTGTGTTCCTAGTGTTCTGTGTGTTCCCTGTTCTCAGTGTTCCCAGTGTTCTGTGTTCCCAGTATTCCTAGTGTGTCCAGTGTTCTAGTGTTCCCAGTGTTCTTTGCTCCCAGAGGTCCTAGTGTTATCTGTGGTTAATGTTCCCAGTGTTCCCAGTTTTATGTGTTCACGGTGTTCCCATTGTTCTTTGTTCCCAGTGTTCCCAGTGTTCTGTGTTCCCAATGTTCTCTGTTGTCAGTATTCCCAGTGTTCTGTGTTCCCAGTGTTCCCAGTGTTCCCAGTGTTCTGTGTTCCTAGTGTTCCCTATGTTCTAGTGTTTCCAGTGTTCCCAATGATCTGTGTTCCTAATGTTCCCAGTGTTCCCAGTTGTCAGTATTCCCAGTGTTCTGTGTTCCCAGTGTTCTGTGTTCCTAGTGTTCCCTATGTTCTAGTGTTTCCAGTGTTCCCAGTGTTCTTTTTTCCCAGTGTTCCCAATGTTCTGTGTTCCTAGTGTTCCCAGTGTTCTGTATTCCTAGTGTTCCCTATTGTCAGTATTCCCAGTGTTCCCTGTTGTCAATGTTCCCAGTGTTCCCAGTGTTCCTAGTATTCCCAGTGTTCTGTGTTCCCAGTGTTACCAGTGTTCCCAGTGTTCTGTGTTCCCAGTGTTCTTTGTTCCCCGTGTTCCCAGTGTTCTTTGTTCCCAGTGTTCCCAATGATCTGTGTTCCTAGTGTTCCCAGTGTTTTGTGTTCCTAGTGTTCCCTGTGTTCCAGTGTTTCCAGTGTTCCCAGTGTTCTGTGTTCCTAGTGTTCCCTATGTTCTAGTGTTTCCAGTATTCCCAGTGTTCTGTGTTCCCAATGTTCTGTGTTCCTAGTGTTCCCTATGTTCCAGTGTTACCAGTGTTCTGTGTTCCTAGTGTTCCCTATGTTCTAGTGTTTCCAGTGTTCCCAGTGTTCTGTGTTCCGAGTGTTCTTGTTCCCAGTGTTCCCAATGTTCTGAGTTCCTAGTGTTCCTAGTGTTCCCAGTTTTCTGTGTTCCTAGTGTTCCCTGTTGTCAGTATTCCCAGTATTCTGTGTTCCTAGTGTTCCCTGTTGTCAATGTTCCCAGTGTTCCCATTGTTCTGTGTTCCCAGTGTTCCCAGTGTTCTTTGTTCCCAGTGGTCTGTGTTCCCAGTGTTCTTTGTTCCCAGTGTTCTGTGTTCCTAGTGTTCCCTGTGGTCCCAGTGTACACTTGCCTTGTTTTTGGACTCCTGCAGTCTGGATGGGAGGTTGCCCATTTCGTCCTTTGTCTTTTCTGCCGTCTCTGCAGCTCTCTGACTGATGGGAACGACTCCGTCACACTTTGGACCTCCACATTTCCTCTTTCCAAGATCAAGACCACACAGAGCTCCTCCACATCCTGAGCAGTCCTGCAGACCGGGTCCTCCACAGATCTGCATCAGACCACACCCACTTCATACATTACTTTTTCCTGAAACAGGCTTCTGGCTGATATTGGACTTATATTACAGTTTTAGTTTACACTCACCTTTCTGTTGATGGTGACCACGCTAAGTTCTTTGATCTTCTTCTCAAGCGGCGCCAGGTTGCCTTTGCTGCTGCATGTGCTCAGTTTGAGTTTGACTTCCTGTCTTGTGTCCGTGGAGTCCTCCACAGTTCTGCTGGCATTTCGGACCCTTTTTTCGTCTGACATGAAGGTTTTATGGAGCTTCTGGATCTCATCAAGCAGCTCTAGAACAGGATCAGAGGAAACACTGGTTTCAATGCTTAAGGAGGCCAGGTCAGATTCAATGATGGCAACAGACATCCTCCTTCAGCAGAAATATAATCCCTCCAGAGTACTCTGGGTTTACTCCATGGTCTACTCCCAGTAAGACCTTCCTGGAAAACCTCCAAAGGGGGCGAGAAGGAGGATCCAGATCAGATGTTTTAACCCCTCTACTGTCTCTGTAAAGGAGCAACAGTTCTACTCCGAGCACCCCCTGAATGTCTGAGCTCCTCACCTTCTCTGTAAGACTGAGCCCAGTGACCCTCCAGAGGAAACTTAGTTCAGCAGCTCAAAGCTCCTTCCCACAGGTGAGGGTCGGAATGTAAATTAAAAGCTTTGCCTTCAGGCTCAGCTCTCTCTTCACCACAATAGTGTTGTTAAGCACCCATTTTACTGCTGATGCTACCAATCTCAATTTCAATTTGCCACACTGTGAACAAGACCTCAAGATACTTGAACTCCTTAACTTGGGCCAAAGACTCACGCACCCAGGGGGGGAAATCCATGGCCTCAGACTTGGAGGTGCTGACCCTCATCCTGCAAACTGTGAGTGTGTTATATACTTTTACATTTCAGATGAATGGTTGGACGTTACATATCTACTTCTTAGGTGAATCAAAAAGTCTTCACTGTCATTGCTACTGTTTAAAGGAGTGAGTTAAATACTTAATATATCTGATATTTCAGTTTTATGTTTGGACTTGATAAAGTTGCTTTTTAGGTGACGTAACTGTCAACACTAAGGTCAAATATGAAGATTGTGAATGGGCTGGCTTAACAAGAAACTCGTGGTTGTTTGTTTTTGATACCTTTTCTGTGCAATGATTTTTCTTTTTTCATTCACTTATGAAAAAGTTAAATGATGGTACCTAATGAGTCGGGTTGAATGTGGGTTATTATGAATAAGGCTTTATATTAACAGACTCACACAGACAGCCATGAAAAATCATGAGTCCATCAACCTCCCAGCCTCCAGGACATCTTTCAACAAACCATAATCAGACACATCTCATGTTCTCCACCCTGAGTACCAGCTCCTCCCCTCAGGCAGACAATACAGGGTACCCTTAGGGAGGAACAACCATTTCAGAAATACTTTTCTTCCCTTGTCCATCAAAGCCCTCAACACTACCTAAGCTGTAAGGTGTATGTATGAGTGTGAGTTTGTGTGTAGATGTACCTGCACTGTATGTTACTTTTCCTAATTATTACTTACTTTAATCCAAGGAAAATTTCCCACTGGGACACTAAAGTTCATCTCATTTTATGCTGAAACCATTAAGATTAAAGGCCCTTTCTTAAAAGAGAGCCCCCCCTTCTTTGCTATATATTTTGAACTAAAAGCAAAAACTTATTCAAAGGAAAAACAGGTCCCTGGACTGTTTGGAGCTAAAAAGCTACCAGGAGAGTTATGATTTCACCGTTGTGGGCTCCCCACCATACGTCTCGCGTGGCATTTTATCTTCAAGAAGTTAAGCTGGGCTCACACTTTGCGATTTTTACCCGATTGTATAAAAGTCGGGGTGGCATGTCAGCCCACACTGTATGACTGAATCATTTACGGCACCTGACCAGACCTTGCGATGTATGTGCTCACACTATACGACCCGATTGTCAGGCACAGTCGGAGAGCTCACACTGTACGAGTGAAATCAGGATGGAGCATTCACAATTGTAAAAAAAAAATTTAATTTGAAAACTGCAACGGACGGTGGTTTGTGAAAGAGAAGGAAGTGGAAGTTGTTGTAGGATACAGAAAAGTTGATACAATTATAGATATATGGATACAAGTTTCAGAAAAGTGCTGCTCTGATGATCTGTACTGAAAACAAACACAAAACAAAAATGCAGGGTTGCATCCTGCCGCTGGTCGCCATGACTACGGTCCTCCCTTGTCTCTCGTGATTATATTGCAGTCACACAAAACTTCTGCTGGACCCTTTCATGATGTAAATGCGAAGATTTTAAATTATAAATATCAAACATGTTTGAAATAAATCTGGGCGTCCCCGACGATCGCCAGCCAGATCAGGGACGTTAAGATTGGATCTTTGTACCGCTCACACTACAAGATAATCTGAGCAGATAATCGAGTCCGAGCAGTTTTAAATCAGGAGCGACCCTGCGAATGTTGGGAAGGAAGAATCTGAGCTCAAATTGGCCCGATTATCCTACAGTGTGAGCCAGGCTTTAGAGGGACCAAATGTTCTTCTGAGGACAGTTTGTGTAGTTATAAACATATACCACAGAATCTGTACACTTCTCCAACTTTCATATTTCTCTACCAAAACTACTACGTGCACCTTTAAATGTAGCAGAATATTATCGTTTATTTTGGGACGGCCATAAACTTACATCTTAAAGGCTTGAAGTTCATAAATGTTTAGAAACTGTATTTCAAGTCAAGTTGGTTTAAATCCTATTTATCAGATCGATCTCAATTTGTACATGTTAATGATAAGTCCTCTATGCACACCAAAGTTAGCCATGGAGTGCCACAAGGTTCAGTGCTTGGACCGATTCTCTTTACATTATATATGCTTCGTCTGGGTAATATTATGAGGAAACACTCCATAAATTTTCTTTGACTAGAAGCGTGCCTTAAGGACATTAGGACCAGGATGACCAGAAATGTTTAGCTGCTTAACTCAGGGAAGACTGAAGTTATTGTGATTGACCCTAAAAACCTCAGAGAGACTTTTTCTAATGATATGACTGTCCTTAATGACATCAGTCTGGCATTTAGCACCACTGTTAGGAATCGAGGAGTTCTATTTGATAAAGATATGTCCTAGAACTAGGAAAAGGGACCACATTACTCCTGTACTGGCTTCTCTGCATTGGCTCCCTATAAAATCTAGAATTCTTCTCACTTACATAGCTCTAAATGGCCAGGCACCATCTTATCTTAAAGAGCTAATAGTGCTGTACTACCCTTCGAGAACAACGTGATACCGACATTCTCTAAATGTACTATGGGGGGTAGAGCCTTCAGTTATCAGGCCTGCTCGTGGTACCTACAGTCTCTAAATGTACTATGGGAGGTAGAGCCTTCAGTTATCAGGCCTGCTCGTGGTACCTACGGTCTCTAAATGTACTATGGGAGGTAGAGCCTTCAGTTATCAGGCCTGCTCGTGGTACCTACGGTCTCTAAATGTACAATGGGAGGTAGAGCCTTCAGTTATCAGGCCTGCTCGTGGTACCCACGGTCTCTAAATGTATTATTGAAGGTAGAGCCTCTGGTAAGTCTCTAAAGACTCTTCAACTAGTCCAGAATGCTGCAGCTCGTGTACTAACTAGAACTAGGTAAAGGGACCACATTACTCCTGTACTGGCTTCTCTGCATTTTCTCCCTATAAAATCTAGAATTTTTCTCACTGACAAAGCTCTAAATGGCCAGGAACCATCTTATCTTAAAGAGCTAATAGTGCTGTACTACCCTTCAAGAACAACGTGGTACCTACGGTCTCTAAATGTACTATGGGAGGTAGAGCCTTCAGTTATCAGGCCTGCTCATGGTACCTACAGTCTCTAAATGTACTATGGGAAGTAGAGCCTTTAGTTACAGTTGCAATAAAAATTATTAGCCCATTCCTCATGGGTGATTTGCTCCAGTTCTCTAATATTCTTGGGTCTGCGTGCTGCAACTGCCTTCTTCAAGTCCCACCAGAGATTTTCAATGGGGTTCAAGTCAGGTGACTGTGATAGCCACTCCAGAATCTTCCAGGACTTCTTCTGAAACCAAGCCATGGTGGACTTTGAGGTATGCTTGGGATCATTGTCCTGTAGGAAGGTCCAACGACGACCAAGTTTCAACTTCCTCACTGATGTCATGATGTTTTCTCCTAGAATTTCCTGATATTTTATTGAATCCATCTTTCCCTCTACATGCTGAAGGTTGCCAGTGCCAGAGGAAGCAAAGCAGCCCCAGAGCATCACCGAGCCCCCGCCATGCTTCACTGTAGGCAGGGTGTTCTTCTCAGCATATGCTTCATTCTTCCTTCTCCAGACATACCGCTGATCCATAGGCCCAAAAAGTTCCACTTTGGTTTCATCGCTCCACAGAATAGAATCCCAAAACTTCTGTGGCTTATCTATATGGTTTTTAGCATATTGGAGCTGGCTTTTTTTGTGCTTTTGGGTCAGTAGTGGTGTACGTCTTGGAGTTCGGGCATGGAGACCTTCAGCGTTTAGTATGCGCCTAACTGTGGAAACAGAAACCTCAGTGCCTGCTGCCACCATGTCTTGCTGCAGGTCTTTTGCAGTCACTCGAGGGTTTTTGATCATTTGCCTTCTCAGGAATCTGATGGCAACCACTGATAGCTTCCTCTTTCTGCCACGGCCAGGTAGTATAGCCACAGTTCCTGTAGCTTTAAACTTGCGAACTATGCTTCCAACTGTATCTCTAGGAACATTCAGTGCCTTTGCTATCTTTTTGTATCCTTTTCCTTGTTTGTGCCAGACAATGATTTCTTCTCTTATCTTTTTGGACAATTCTCTTGATTTAGCCATGTTTCTCACATACCAATTGTCACTGTCAACAAACTCCTTGTCAGACCAGGTATTTGATGTGTTTCAGGCACACCTGATGGAACTAATTGAGCCCTTGATTGGTTGCATCAGGTGTGCTTGAAACAACACTCAATTTGCAAATGTGTGCTTTTATGAGGGATTCTATTCAGGGGGTTGGATAATTTTGACACTGCAGTATTCTTTAAAAAGTGGCACTTTGTGTTGAATATGGAGAAACCAATAATAATAATAATTGTCTAACGCTCTTAAAATTGTTGTTGTTTGGTTTGTTCATTGCAAAGAGCCGAAAGTTTGTAAATTTTGCCAATAAACCTAATTTGCAATGGGGGTTGAATAATTTTGACTGCAACTGTAGCAGGCCTGCTCGTGGTACCTACGGTCTCTAAATGTACTATGGGAGGTAGAGCCTTTAGTTAGCAGTCCTGCTCAT